GGGGGGGGGGGGCAAAACAGTCTCCTCAAATGAACTCAAGCCACTTACTTGCTTCCCCCCAGGACCCCCCACATCCCCTCCCAGGGCCCCAGCCCAGCCTGCCGTCTCCAGGCAGGATGGGAGATGAGTCCAGAGAGAGGCCTAATGCCAATGGCCATCCAGGTAAGGGTGAGAGCCAGGGTCATGAGAACCCAGCAAGTGGGGCCACAGGAGGGGAGGTCAGCATCAGCTGAGGGTACCTGTCCCAGGGCGCAGCTCAGCCCCCTGGGCAAGATGGGCCAAACCCTGGGGTCCCCCACAGGCAGACCTAGAAAGGAGCTGGGGGTCAAGGCAGGTGTGTCTCTGATCACAGGCAGTGAAGAGAAGGGACCTAGCAATTAGGGTCTGAGGGCAGGAGGTGGGCTTCCCATTACACAGGGAACAGGCCAGGGGACACCCCAGCTGGTGGGCTCATTGCATGGGCGCTGGAGACACAGGCCCGGGCTCAACCTGGGGCAGGTTCCTCGGCCCCTCTGTGCCTCAGTTTCCTCATCTGCAGAGTTGTTGCCACTCATCCTAGTCTGGCAGGCTAGAGAGAGCCCTGCTTCCACTAGACTGCCAGGCCACCAGCCTGGCCTGACCCACGTCCTGCGTCCTGCAGAGCTCAGCAAGTCCGAGGCTCAGCGGCCAGTGTTGAACGACCTGGATGAGCCAGACACCTTGGACACTGAGGTGGGTCCCAGGTTCAGGTGCCCCTCCCCCCCCCCACGAGCTAGGGCTGCCCAGGCTTGGGGAAGTGTCCTGGCCCTGACCACACCCCACATCCCTCAGGTGGGCCTGAGCCCTGAGGCGGGGGCCACGCCAAGCACCCCAGGGGAGGGGCCCAGGTGCTTCTGTACCAAGGAGCCTGGGCAGGGCCCGCCACAGAAGAGGAAGCGAGCCTCGTCCTCTGACCTGTGGGACAAAGGTAGGTGGCCAGGCGCAGTGGGGGGCAGGGAGTCACTGTGGCCCCAGCACCCCCATGCCACCTTTCTGTCCACTTGAGGAGTGGAACCCTCAAACTGACTGGAACCCTGACCCCAAAACCGGTCCTGAAAGTTCTCCCAGAGCTGACCCCTTAAAAGGAGGGACAGGGTCAGGCGATTCCTGGTCCACTTCCTCCTCACGGTCCACCCTGGTCATTCCCTCCAAACTGGGGGGATGGGGACCCCTGGGCCCTCTTGGCCATCTTCGAAGAGGAGCAGAGGGTACAGCCCCTGGGTCATGGGTGTTTGTTCCTGCTGGGGTGGGGGCTGCTCAAATGTTTGCCTAGAGTGGTGCTTGTGGCCCAACTCCTCCCAAAAGGGCAGCAGGAGCAGGGGCTCCAACCCAAGGGTATCAGGACACCCCCCACTTCCTGCTCTGGCCACAAAGGCAGCTCCAGCCAGGTGCCTGAGAGAGCCTTTGAACACCTGAGCTAATAATGGATGCGGCCCTGGTGTTTGTCCAAGCAGGTCTGCCACTTGGCAAGCCCGGCTGTGGCCTCCACAATGCGCCATTGTTGCTGGGAAGGTGAAGGAGGCCGTGTTTGCTCCAGCGAGTGGCGGAGGAGGCCCACACACCTGTCTGATTCCCAGTCACTTCCTGCTGGGCATTATGGAAAATGTCCCGGTGGGCTCAGTCCACAGGGGTGCGCAGATGTCTGCTCCACCCTGCACTCAGCAGAGCTCCCCGACCCCAGTCCTCCCACCGGGGCCAGTGCAGGGGTTCCCCAGCAGGCACCAGCATGCACCCCACAATGCCCACACTGGTGGTCAGTGAGAACAGGGCCCATGCCCAGCTTGTGGCTGGCACCACTATGTGCCAGGCAGGGTGCAACATGTCTCAGAACCAGGAGCAGCACCCTTGTAGCTTGTGCCCATGATGAGGTACCAGCAGCATCCAGGCATCACTGCCTCTGGGTCTCACAACCCTGCCCAGTTATGGATCTCACTGTCTCACAGGTGGGGAAACTGAGGCACAGAGTGGTGAGAGAACTTGCTCAAGGCCACACAGCTGGTACATGGGGTCAGGATTCCAACCTGTTTCTGACCCAGGTCTGAATCTTGTTCTGCATCAGAGACAGGCCTGGGGCCCAGCACACTATCAGATCCTCCCCGAGAGGGTCCCAGGGCTCTCCCCTGTGGCCCCAGCCAAGGAATGCCAGCCCATGGAGGCACTGGCCAGAGTCTCAGGGATTCTGAGAGTGTTTGCTCAGCAGTACAGGTTATCCAAAATGTGCCAGGCCCTCTGCAAGGCAGCGGGAGGCGCCGGGGCCTGGCCAGCTTTAGGATCACACACCTGGGGAGACCATCCACTCTTCCACCAAATTCTCTTTGGCCACTGCGGCTCCCGGATCTGTTGCTGTCAGGACAAGACACCTCTGTCAGTGTGGGCTCTCCTGTGCCCATGCCCAGAGCCTGCACTTGAGGCCCTGGGGAGAACGCAGAGTCATCTCAAGGGAGGACACATGAGGCTACCGCCCTGCATCCCAGCCTAACCTGAGTCCACTCCCCACAGCCATCCTGAGGGAGAAGGAACCCCAGGGGAGCCCCTGACGGCAGCTGAGGGGCCTGGGAGCCAAAGACCCTGAGGATGACAGCCCATCATCACCCAGCAGCAGCAGCAGCTGGGAGGAGACCTATCGTGCTTTGCCCAGGGTACTACAGCCTGCCCACCCAAGGCCAGGACAGCCCACACCACCAGCCAAGCCCAGCTCAGAGAGGCTGGGAAAGCTGAGAGAGAGTCTATAGCTGGACTTTCGAACCCCTCCTTCTCCATCCCTCTTGAGAATGACTGGCTGGACCTGCCACCCCATCTTCTCTCCAGCACCTGCTCACTTGTGGGGAGCAGGAATTCGAAAGCACAGGAGGCAGGGATCCTTGGGCCCCAGCCTAGCCCTAACCCTACAGCACACAGACAGCCCTTGTGGGGCAGGGCCACACACACCCCAAACACCCCCAACCATCCCAGACTCAATTGACATCCCAGACTCCAAGGGCCCTACGCTTCTGGCCGCTCCTTCCCTGACAGGCAAGGAGCTGCAAGCAGTAGTCTCGGGCACCCCCTTGTGGAATCTCGCAAACAGATGCTGGTCATTGAGGGCCCAGGCAGGCCAAGGACACAGGGAGGCTGGTGGGCAGTTGTGCAGCACCTTCGTAAAGAGGGTCCCCAGGGCGCAGAGAGAATAAAGATGCAAAGAAGGATGGTGGGTGTGGCTAGCAGGGTGGGGGTCGGGGTCAGCAGAGCCAACACCTGCCTGCACAAGTGACTCAAGAGGCTCTTGAATGTGTCCAGGGTCAGGGTGGTCACTCCCTTAAAGGAGGGCAGAATCAAAACCAGCAAAGTGTTACAGGGACAGGGCACTCTCTGGGGATGGCCAGGGAACAGAACAGAGAATGTGCACAGGCCCCCACACAGCCCCTCCTGACACCCCTGAGTCCCTGGCCCTACATTTGCTACTGACTGGTCAGCCCTCTCTGCATGACCACAGGGAGCCCACCCAGCATTCCACCCTCGGCACTCAGAATTTTCTGCCCCCTCGGCCATTGTCTCTTCAAGAGGGTGTGTCTCAGAGGCCTCCAGGAAAGGAGCTTAAACAGATTCTTGGGCCCACTCAGACCCACTGGATCAGGATTTAAGATCCAAGGGTCAACTTCCCTACACATGAAATTTGAGAACTGCCCCTTCCAGATCAAAGGCAGGACACAGGGCAATGACTGGGCTGGGTGAGACCTGGGGCAAACTGTGGATGCAGGCCTGACTAATGGGGGCACTGCTCCCCACCTTGCTCTGAGAGGCCTGAGGGACTAAATTCCCAAGACAGAAGACTAGGGGTCAGTGTGCACATTGCACATGAAATCTCCCAGTTGTGGAAGGTGACTTTGATTTTCCTCAAAATCAAATAAAACAGAACCTGTGTGCTCCATTCACATCTGACTTGCAGGCCTGAGTGGTGGAGTCTCGCGGGCAATTTGGAAGGGCAGAGGGAAAGGAAGGAGGACAGGCTGGGCACTGGGGGAGCCCGCCTGTGCTGACAAATGAAGGTGACTAGGAGACGGCACACTGCGGTGAGAGGTGGGTAAGGGACCCGAAGGGGAGCAGGCCATGCAGGGGGGCCTGATAGATGATGATGGTGGCAATGACTGTTCATACCCCCCCAACCAGAACAGCGCCCACCCATTAGCCTGATGCAGGTTACAGGACAGACAGGAGCCGTGAAGGCCAGGGCCACGTGGGGCAAAGGGCAGCACACACAGAAGCATTCACTAAGCTGTATAACCAAACGGCAAACGCCCGGCAGACAAGCACTAGTGACCTCCGCTGCAGGGACAGCTCCATCCTGACAATACCTGGAGTTGAAATCACGTCCCCACTGAAGGGTAAGCCCACAGGGGGAAACGGGGGCTCCAGAAGGCAGCGCCCCAGCATGAAGCCATCTGCTCTGAAGTCAGGGAAGCCCGGGCCCAGAAGAGAAAACCGAGGCCTGGGTCACGTGGCTGCGGAGGGCGGCGCAGGCCCGTCCCAGCCCGCCTGCCATCCCAGACCCTTCACTCAGACCGCGTCTCTTCACCGAGCGAGGCCGGGGGGCACCGCCAGCCATTCCGGGGAGACTTGGGGCTCCTCGAAGGGACAAAGAGATGGCAGTTTGCAAACTGAAGGGCCTCCGACACAGCAGGTGGCACAGCTTCAGCCCCCGCGCGGGCACACACCCCAAGGGGAGGTGCGCTGGAGCCTACACTCGCGGCTCAACGGAGACTGACCACAAACGTCGCAGCCCAGCAAGAGCTCAGTTTCCGAGGCGGGGACTCGAGCCCGGCCGTCACCCCGCCGC